GCTGTGAAACGTGCGTGCAAGCTTCGTATCGGGGCCCCTGGCGTGGGTGTGGAGCCTGCGCCCCAGGGCCCAGCTGGCTGAAGCTGCTGCCCAGGTGGTCTCTTCTGACGTCCAGAACCTTCACAGAACGGGTGTTGGTGAAGGGGCAGATGCGCGTCCGGGGAGCCCTGGCCTCTGATTGGCTGTCCGGCGCACGGAAGGCGGGTCTGATCAGCGCCAGCCCCGCCCTTGAGAAGCCCGCACTCGTCTGAGGTCGACTGAAAAGGCCATGGCCGGCGGGGCAGGGCGGGATGAGGGTTCTACGAGAGCCTCGCCGAGGCCCCAGCGGTCATTCCCACGCAGCCTGAGCTGCAGACACGACGCCGAGTGGGCCGTGGCCTCGGAAGATGCAGGTCTGCAGCCTGGATGGCAGGAGGCCGCTGGGCCTCGTCTGCACAGATGGTGCCCGCTGTGGTCGCCCAGGGCCTCCCGCGGCTCTGCTCAGGGTTTGTCCCTGGTGCCCACGCGGAAGAGCTCCCACGGCGCCAGCTGGGCCCTGGCTGGTTCCCTGAGCTCCGCCGGGGGTGCCTGGGAGCCAACCCCTCTGCTGAGGATGGGGCTTCCCTGAGCACGAGTTTGGTTAAGCATCTTCTCACATGGGGCCTTTTATTTTAAAATACATAAGGATTCACGTCTTGAGATCAGGAAATCGGGGAGAACAGGGATGAACTGAGGTAACGACGCATCGTACGTGACGTGAAATGTTTGTGCCTAATCCAGTAACGAGTGACTTGTTAAAAACACCCAGGATGACCTGTGAGGGAGGATTCAGCCCAAGTGAGTGTCGATCTCCAACACCCGAAGGGCTGAATCCCAGAGCCGTCCTGTGGACTACAGGTTGCCATGGAGATGCCTCTCCCGCCCGACCAGGGACTTGGGGAGCTGATGGGTCCCTGCCTGTCTGGAGCCCCAGGCATCCTCGTCCCCCAGCTTGGAGTCGCCTCTTTGCGGCCATCCCTCCGCACACGCTCTGCTCTGGTTTGGGGCTTCCTGGGTGGGGTCTCGGTAGACTAGGAATCCCACCCACGCGGGATGGTGAGGCCACCCCACGGACTCTCCACTTCGGACTCTGAAAGGACATCACGGGTGTATTTTGACAGAAAATAAACAAAAGCCTCGGGTGTGGATGTGCAGCCAGATATAAACAAAGAAGAGAATTAGCTCGTGACGGACTTAGTGGACTTTGCGGCCCAGGGCCTCTTGCCAGCTGCCGACCCCTCTGTCAGAGCCCTTCTCAGTCTCCTGTCCCCACTTCAGCAAGGCGGGGACCAGCCTCGAACACGAACGCCAGGCTTCTGCACGCGCCGCGGGCGTCCTTGACCCAGACCCTCGCCACCGGGACATGGATCTTCAGGGTCCACGCGCCCTGCGTCTCTCGAGCCCCAGCCCTGCACGTGTTCTCGGCCCGAGCAGCGCTGGCGTGCACGGTGCCGCTCGGAGGCCCTTCCCATGGGCAGCGCGGGCCAGATGCAGCCTGCTCTGCACTGTGAAATCCTCGTCCTAAAAGAAAGAAAATATGCGAGTCAGTTTGCCAGAGGAAGGAAGTTTGCTGCCGGAGTCTGATTGTGTTAAGATGAAACGGTGTGAAGATAAAAGGGTGGTGCCCCTCCCCCGGACTCTCCGATTGCTGCGCAGACCAGGACTCAGGGGACCACTTCGTGGCCAGAGATTCCAGCGGTCGATGTTTCTTCCCCTTTGTCCTCATGTAGAACTGAGCTGGGTCCCCGCACCGCTGAGATGTCGTGAGCTCAGCGAGGGGTCATTCCCTCTGGCCTCTGACAGGGAGCGGGCCTCTGTCCCCTGCGGTGCTCCGGACAGAGCGACACTTCCAGACGGGCTCCCAGAGCTGGTGCCAGAGGGACCAGGTCAACCTGCAGACCCCGCCCCCGGCCCCCACCCTGCAGGAGTCGGAAGGGAAGCGCTGTCCTCTCCCCACTGCACCCCTCCCGTCTCAGAGTGACTCTGTGCTGGGTAATTGCCTGGAGTCTCCGCTTACGTCTGGGCGACAGGAAAGTCGTTGTCGGGTGGTTATCTGTGAGGCATTGTGTGTACACAGAGCGGGTCTGTGCAGGAGCTGGGCCTCCCCTGACCCTGACCCTGACCCTGACCCGGCGGGCAGGGCGAGCCCACTTCCAGTCCCAGACCTCAGATGGGCCAGGCCGGGTACCTCCACTTCCTTCTCAACCGGCCGCCACCTGCCACTCGAGTGCAGGATGAAATATCGTGGACGAGGCCCCAGCCTTTGAGGGAGAAAGAGCAGTGCGTGCCTGACGCCGCAGCGCCTGCTGTCCACGGAGGGCGCGTGACAAACACCATGTGCCTCGATGGCAGCCGGAAACTGCTCGGTTATTCTCAGCTCTCTGAGGGGCGGCCAGTGACCATTTAACATGCATGAGGTTTTGTTCGGTCCATTTGTCTGAATGGACCTCGTGTGCAGAGTAACCCTACCTTCAAACCTAAATTGGGTCATTTGATCTAAGGCACAATATTAGGTTAGTTCTGCCCCAGAAGATTCACGGGTGGTGGGTTCTGGGGCGCGGCTGCCGTGGTGAGGGGTCTGCACCCGCGGGGCCCGCAACGGGCAGAAATTCTGGAGCCAGCCTGTGTGCAACTCAGAGCGAACTTTGCCAAATTAGCCAGATTCCACGTGAAGCTCTGAGGAGTCATCGTCTGTCCGTTCAGCACGAGTTCTCTGGGCTCCTGCCCTGGGAGTGGGCCGGCTGGTGCCCTCCGGGGGGGTGCAGGGTGCTGTGAGGCTCCCGCCAGGCTAGGAGGCGGAGAAAGGCGCCCCGAAGAGGTGGCATCTCGGTGACATCTTGAGTAGGATTGGACCAGGAAACAGGGATGGGAGAAGCATCACAGAGGGGCAGCCTGTGCAGAGACCCCGGGCCTGGCAGGACCTCGGCTGGTCGGGGAACTCGAAGCACGTCAGGGCGGCGGCCCCAAGCGCGTCCCTCTGTGGAAGCAGCTTAACATGGACGGTGGTCCAGACAGTGAGAAAGGGCAGGGGTGGTCAGGGGTAGCCACCGTGCCCCTAGTACGTGGGGAGCCGCCTGCCGTCCGGGGGAGCTGGACACGGAGGGCGGACAGCTCTGGTGTCCACGGCGAGCTCAGGAAGGAGGAAGTGTGCTCGTCGGAGGGGCCACGTGAAGGCCCTGCCGCTCGGAGCTGCTCGAAACCAGGTCTGAGAATCTCTGCAGAAATGCCCGTCGGAGTCTCGATGTGGTCCGGGGGGGTCTGCGAGCTGAGGGCAGTCCTGCGAGGCCTGAGGAACTGCCCGTCCCAACGTCCACGCCGGTCTGGGGACTTGCCAGCTAGCAGCGTCCGTGCTGTTTTCTGCAGCCCTGGGCGTCTCCTTTCCAAGCTTGAGGGCGACCCCACTTCCCTGGGGGTCCGTCTCAATGACGCGCTTGTCCCCGGCGGGCAGAGGCCGGATTTGAGGAGAACAGGGTCCATGCTCGACAGTGTGGGCAGCATAAAGTCTGGCCTCCCAGCCTCCGGTGCAGCTGCCCGTCCATCGCACCTGACATGTGTTCTAAATAAATGAGGTGTGACGGCCATAAACCACCTCGTCTGGAATTTAAAACATTTCAGGTTTTCTTTTAGCACTTGTTTCCAGCCCTGTTTTTCTCCCACAAAAGAAAGCCACTGGTGAGACGTTTCCCTGCACAGGGGAGGTGGCATGGCCCCGAGCTGCCCGTGGAACCGGCAGAGTCGTGGCCTCTGAGTTTTCTGAGTGTGACCCGTCATTCGGTCCCTGACCCTGAACGGGCTGCGGCTGTGTCGGGATGAGTGGACACGGCCCCCGTCACGTCCTCGTCAGCACCAGGCAGAGTCACGGGGCAGCCAGCCGTGGGTCTCGGCAGTTCCACAGATGACAGCCGGGATCTGGGGACCCGCCTGTGCGTTTAATTGTGCCACCTGCCCACGCTCACTGGTCTGCAGGACGGAGGCTCATCCGCTCGGAGGGCGTTCCACTGTCTCCGTGACCTGAATCTCCAGGCCCTGGGGGCCGGGGTCTTCTTCTGGGTGTAGGAGAGCTGACTCTTAAGCCATTTGTGAGTTGTAGTCTCTGTGGAGAAGTTGTGTCAACACTGAAGGCTGCAGACTCTCCAGGACACCCGGGTCTGGAGACACGAGACGTGGGCCGTCACTCACGTGGTACCAACCTAGCAGCAACTAGAGACACAGGTCCGCAAAGGCCCCCCAGCAGCCTGGCCCTGTGGCCACCTGCTGGTGCCCCCGCATGGACCCAGACCCTGGCCGTGTCCGGGTTCCACCAGGAGTCTTGCTAAACCTTTTGTTTCTGGTCAACGCCTCCAGGCTGTGACTGGGTCACTCGGGGCCCTGATCTAGGACTTGTGGCTGTCGGTACCGGGCTCAGCGCCCTGCTCAGGGTCAGTGTCAGGCTGGGGTGAGGCTCCAGGCATGTATGTCTGAACCCACTGCCATGGCCAGGTTTCCACTCTGACCAGTGGGTTGTTGCATAGACAGCAGGCGAGAACCCCAAGGGTGGCCCAGCCACTCCCAGGATGTCGGTAGGTGCTCTCAGACCAAAGAGTGTCTGCTCCCCCAGCAGTCATCTCGGGGTCAGTCCTCCAGCTCCGGTCCTGGCCCACTCCCCCCACCTCCCCTCTGCCTGCCGGTCCTTCTCTGTCCCCCTCTGTCCCTCCGTGTCCCCCTCTGTCCCCCCGTGTCCCTCCCTGTCCCTTCCTCCACTCCCTCCGCCTTTCTCTGTGCTTCTGACACACACCACGCTTTAAATACTGATGAATCACTCAGCGCACAGCTTTCTGTGCTCTGCGAAACAAAGGTTTCTCTACTGGAAACTGGAATCCCTTTCTCCAGGCCCGTGACCGCTGGACCCTCGAGTGTCTGCGGTGGGGCTGACCCAGACATAGCTCGGGAGGCCATTTCCTCCAAATGACAGCGTGTTTCCGTCTGCTCTGCTCTCCCCGCAGATGAAATCATGCACCACGACATCAGCCCGCTCTGTGCTGCCGACATCCAGGACCAGCTGCAGAAGCGCTTTGCGTACCTGTCTGGTGAGTGCGAAGGCCAGGCTGTGTGACGCGGGCGGGGGAGTGTCTGCTCGCCAGGCGGTCGGCCTCCTGGCCCTCCGTGACCGCGTCGTGGGGCCTGGGGACAATCCGTGCGGTGCGGCCCGCCCCCCATTGCACCGATGCCTGTGATGAGAGCAGCTCAGAGCCGGCAAATGCCGGCCAGGGGCCAGCTGGGTCCCCAGGGGGGCGTGGCCCGGCTGCTCCTGGCTGCGGTCTCCTGGATTCCAGAGCTCTCCTGGGACAGGGAGGCGGTGCAGGTGTGGCAAGTCGCCCCCGTGCAGTGTCCAGGGCCTGGGCTCTGGCTTCTGTGGCTCCGCCTTCTGGGAGAAGCCCCTGGGGCGCCACCGACAAGGGCGAGGGGCTGGCACTGCCCACAAGCCTGTCCTGGGGTCGCTCCGTATCTCCAGCCCCTGTCCACCTGCCACCTCCCCTGGGATCCGGGCTCTGTCTCCAGCCTGCAGGGACATCTTGCTGCCCTATTCGGCCGGCCAGGGTGCTGGTGCCTCGGGCCCGCAAAGGCCGTGAGCATTGCGCGAGAGCAGTGCCTGGAGCAGGGCGGCGCCGCTCCACCGGGCAGGCCTGCCCCCCAAGGCTCGCTGTGCTGTCGGTCAGGGGCCCGAGGTTGAAGGCCCCGTGCTCGCAGCCCTTTCCCCTGGCCAGCAGGTTGGGGTCTCTCCTGAGCTCCGAGAGCCAGTCCTGCGCCCCTGGGCTCCCCTACCCGCCCCTTGGTGCCAGGAGCTGCTCCCCAGGCCGTGCCCTGTGTGGCTCAGGCCCACCTGCCCCCCTGCACATGGACCCGCGGTGTCGCTTGGGGGTTAAACCTCGAGGCCTGAGCCCCCTGAGCAGGAAAGCTGAGCCTCTGAGGTCTGTCAGCGGAGACGGCCTCCTGCTGTTCCTGGGGGGGCACCGCGAGGGGCGCCCACCTCATGGAGGACGGAGAGAGAGCGGGGTGTCCTTCTGAGAAACCAAAGTCCCCAACAGGACAGGGTCATGACCTTGACCTTCCTTCAGGTCTTCACCCGCTGCCCTCAGGAGGAGACCCCAGGGGGGCCCTGACCCCCAGACACACCTCCTGTTATTCAGAGGCTGCCGGGTGCTCGGGGAGGGGGTTTTGCGGAAGTAACCACGGCCCCAGCTCGGCGGCTACAAGGTCACTGACCACTGGGCCTCACAGGCCCCAGGTCCCCCAGCACACGGGGGGCCAAGGACAAGGGAGCTGATGTGACCAAGATACCCTACCGCCGGCCTGGGCTATTGGGGGTGTCTGGAGGAGGGTAGGCGGCCGAGGGGGCAGAGAGCGACCCCAGCGCTACAGCCACGGGAGGGGGTTCCGCCAGCATCTGAGGGAGGCTGGAAGGTGACCCCGGGCTCAGGCGAGCCCACAGGCGGGTGGCAAGGCCCTGAGCTGAGGACCACCAAGCCCGCCGCCATCCCAACCTGCAGGGCGCGAGCCGACGGGCCGGGTTGGTTCACGTCGTCAAGTCTGGGAATTGGTTAGAAGACAACACATCCCGAGCTTCAGCGTCTGGAACAAAGCTGGAGCGTCCTGGGTTTTTGCGGACACCCCGTGCGGGTTGGCCAAGCAGAGCCCGGGGCGGAGGTGGCCCTCGTCCTCTCCATCCCTCCCCCACCCGCCAGGACACCCGGGTTGCCCGCCTCCCAACGTGAGGACGCCCTGGCCAGTTATCACGGTGCCCACTGCCTGCCCTGGACCAAACTGTCGTAACCTCCTGCCGGGGTGTCCGTGTGCGAAGGTCGGGGTGGCTGGCTTCGCAGCCCAGCACCGCTGACACTGGGGGGACGGCTCCCCCGTGGGGCTGTCCCACATTGTAGGACGTAGAGCAGCCCCACCCACCGGAGGCCAGCACCCCCCAGAGTGACGACCAGAACTGCCCAGATGCTGCCAGTGGACACCAGAGCAGCTGGTGTGGACAGAGTGAGAGGTCTTCAGGGGTCAACCGGGTCTGCCCTTGTAAGGGGCCCCAGGTGCTCGCCTGTGTCAGGCTGTCTGCGGCCGGCTGCCTCTGCTAGTTCACTGCAGACCAGCCTGAGAGTCACGCGGCATCACTTCTGCCACCTCGGATGGGCCAGGCCAGCCTCGGTTCACAGGGAAGAGGGAAGGACCCAGCCCCGGAGGAGCAGAGGTGGCCATCTCCTGCCGCGCAGGGCACCGGCTGGCAGCAGACCACGCCTGGCCTCACCTCCTGACCTCTGCACTGCCGCCCAGGTCGTCGGTGGGACAGCTCGGCCCAGAATCCCAGCCTGCATCTCCACGCCTGCCCTCCCGACTGCCTGGCCCTGGGGAGCCGTGCTCACCTTCCCAGATCCAAGGCCACTGCCTCGTTTTCCCTCGGGAACTGTGTCGGGTGCACCTCCCCTGGGAAAAGTGCCCCCCCCCACCGGTTCCACCTGTACCTCCCCACACACAGTGCCGAAGGGATGACTCCCATCAGACAGGAACTGTCTACCCGAAGTCGCCACAGGGCGCCCAGGCGGTCGGGCTGCAGCCTGGTGGCACGTGCAATGTTTAAATGCTCTTCACGTCACCTGTGGAGCGTGGAAAACGTCCATGCCATCAGGAAGGAAGCAGGATGCCAGCTTTCTGTTCAGCGCGGTCCGTCACACACAAAAGCGCACGGAAGTGGGTTTGGAAGGAAACGTGCTCCCGCGATGCTCCGGCGGCGGCAGGATAGCGGGTACCTGCTTCAGCTCATCACCTCATTCCAAATGTTCCCATCGATAGCACACATTTCTCTCATAATAAAAGACATGGAAGGGACTTCCCTGGCGGTCCGGTGGTTAAGACTTCGCCTTCCAGTGCAGGGGGTGTGGGTTCGATCCCTGGTCAGGGAGCTAAGATCCCACATGCCTGCGCCCAAAAAAACAAAACGTAAAAACAGAAGCAATACTGTAACAAATTCAATAAAGACTTTAAAGATGGTCCACATCAAAACAAAAAAAAAACCCAAAACACGGAAAGTGAGTTTCCTTCTGGAAAATGACTGTCCTGCCGACACCCGGGAGCAGCGCCCCCGCGCCCCCCGTGCTGAGTGCAGCTCTTCTCTCTCCCCAGGTGGGCGGGGGCAGGACGGCAGCCCCGTCATCACCTTCCCCGACTACCCGGCCTTCGGCGACGTCCCCGACAAGGAGTTCCAGAATGTCATGACCTATCTCACCAGCATCCCCAGGTGCGTGTGGATGGGTCACTCTGTTTTATTACAAGCAGAACTGGGTCCGTCCTTCAGAAAGGTAGGGAGACCTCCTCCGAGCCCACGGCCACACTGGGCGGTGTGGCACCCAGGAGCCGAGGGGCGGGGGGGGCTGATGCTGCCTGGGGATCCCCCCTCGGAAGGGGTGAGGCTGCCGACCTCCCGCCCAGCGGACGAGCGGCTGCCCCGCTAAGGCACTGGGGGCATGGGTGCCGTCAGACTCTCCCTCCGTCGGGTTTCAGAAGGCAGGTCACAGCTCGGTGAATTAAGTCTAATCTGGGAAACAGACCCGACAGTGAGTTTGACCGCCCAACACCTGTCCTACAGAAGGTGCTGGTCAGTGTCGTCCCGTCAGCACCGATCAGTGCCGGGGGGAGGGGGAGGCTGGGGGAGATCCTTCCAGATGCCTGCGGGGTGGAGGTGTTAAGCTGGGGGAGCCCTCCCGATGGACGTGGGTGGTGAAGGTCACTTGGCAGAGGGAGCTGGACGACGCGCCCTGGGTCCCGCGGGGCAGGGTCTCTTGTTAGGGTTGGCTTATGGTGGCCACCGTCTCCGTCCTTCTCTGTACCCAACTTGCTGGGCCAGGCTCTGGGTGGCCGAGCTGAGGCGGGAGGTTCAGCCACTGTCCTGGGAGTGCGTAGCCTTCCTTGAGGGCCCCTCGGGCTGGCCATGCGATCCTGCAAACATCTCCATTTGTCTTCTCCCTTGAAGTTACAGCCAGGAAGGCCACGGACAAGGCCCCTGGACCGCGGGGGACGATGCTTGAGTAGGTTCAAGGGTCTGGAGAGTGGCGGGAAGGTGGATGCTGCCCACATGCAGCGGCACAGGGGGTGTCCTTGGGGGAGGGGGACCCGGCACGGTGGGTCCAGCTCTCGGCGTGCCCAGCAGTGAGGCGCAGAAAAGCCTCACAGCCTTGGCGGTGGGACACCGGGGACAGGCCAGCAAGAGGAAGGGCAGCTGCACTCAGCACCGGTGTCAGGCAGTCTGGTGACTTAACAAGAAGACGGCGGCTGTTGGTGGCTGACCGTGGGCCCCCCCAGGGGTCTCACTGGCCCTCCGGGAGGCGGGCTTGTGGCCAGCTCCCCCGCTCCCCTCCATGACATCTCCCAGGGGTGGGCGTTCCACGTCCAGGTGAGGCGTGGCCCTCCTCCCCCACCCTATGAGCCCCCCAGCCCATGCCTCTTGTCCCCGCTGTGGCCGTCTTTTCCCCCATCTCCCGTGGTCCCCAGGCCTGTCTCTGACCAGGCAGTGGAGCTCACGGTGCAGTAAGCCTGCCCGGGGAGGGGTCCGAGGCACAGTTCTCAGTCTGACACCCGTGAGCCGTGACAGAGGCCGCCTGCGCTCCGCGGAGGTTTCTGCCCATCTCCGTGGCCGGGGGGTCAGGGTCGGATGACTCAGAGGCATCGGCGAAGGCGGGCGGGCTCTGCACGCGTCCAGGGGCCCGGAGACCCCCGCGGCCTCCTGTCTCTCTGTCTCTCTGTCTCTTCCCGCTCCGGCCCCTGCATGGGGACGTACGGGCCGAAGTCCTGCGGTTGGAGGCTGCCGTGAGCCTCTCCATAGCTACGGGCACGGCCCTGCTGCCCCAGCCGAGGCGGCGGCCGGCCCTGGGCTCGGCGGTCGGCGGGCGCCGTTGCCACAGCGGCCGGACCGCTCAGTGCAGGCTGAACAAGGGCCCCGGGGGTGCTATATGTGGTCTCCCACTGCCCACCTGCGATGGTGCGGTGGAGTGACCCTCCCCTGCCTGTGGGGGAATCTCAGGTTTCAGGTCACTCTCGGGTTTGGGAAGGTCAGACGTCACTTTCTGTCTGGCTCAGAGGCAAGGCTTCTCCCGGACGCAGCAGGCTGGCCCCTGTGCCCTCTCGGACCCTCCTCGCCCGGGTCACCACCCTTGCTAGTGCTGGGGCTGCTCAGGCCTCCTGGCCTCGGGGCCTTTGATGCGCTCCCTCGGCGCGGTGTTTCCTCTTCGGGCTGCAGGCGCCCTCCTCTGGTCGGCCGTCCGTCACACCCGCCACCCCCGGGCCCGGCCCACAGGCTCCCTGGCTTCACGGGCTTAGCTGCAGTGTCCCCGTTACCTGACAGCTCGCTGTTGGTCTGTGTCTGCCCCTCACGCAGGTCCTGAGAGCAGCAGGTGGTTCCTTGGTAAATATTTCCTGGACAAGTGGGCTAGGTCTGCAGAGAGCAAAGCCAGCTCTGCTGGTAGTCAGCCCGCGGCCTGGCGGGACTGAGGCTCCCCCCGCGTCACTCACCGCAGCACACGCACCTCCCCTTCAGGTGGGACCAGCACCTGTGTTTCTCTCCTTCTTTAAGGGGTTCTCAGCCCGGTGCAGTGGAACCTCTCCAAACCTTGGTCTCCAAGGTCTCAAACAGAACCTGCCCGCGGATGCAAGGGCAAGAAACACGTTCCCCCTGAAGCTGAGGAGCGACGGTGGGCTCCTCGCACCTGGCGGGGCTCTGTGCCGTGGACCTGGCCGCAGGGCCGGCTTGAGCGTGTGCCGCCCAGACCCGTGGGCTCCGTCTCCAGGGAGCCGCGCGCGGCGTGGTGGTCGGCGTGTGTCCTGTTCACGTCTCTTCCTCCTGACGGAGGATGGGGCGGGGTGGGGGGGGTCCCGTGGCCCGACGCCCTCTCACACAGAGTGAAACCCCGCGGCGGCACCGGATACCGTCCTTTCGCAGCTGGGTGCCGGGCCAGCGGGGGAGGGGCAGCTGCCCGGCAGGCTGTCGGGGAGGCGGGGAGGGGCCGCGTTCCGAGCCCTTGGCCGCAGCGCTGTTGGGCGGGCTCCTCGGGGGTATGGGGGGATCAGCCCCGAGCGAGGGCAGATTTGGGGGACCTCCTAAGCGTACGGAAGGGTGTCGCCCATCAGCTCACAGGCAGCTGCGTTTCCAGAAGATTCAGCGCACATCTCACGGGGCGCGGGGGAGACACTCGGTGTCTGTGGGTCAAGCAGGGCTGGGCGCTGCCTGCCAAGGGCTCCCCTCCTGCGGGAACCCAGGGAGGGAGGGGCTGCCGCCTGGCGGACGCAGCCAGCACTGCCGGCCCCAAGAAAAGGGGGAACCCCCCCTGCCCCCAGCGCGGGCCGGGCTTACCCTAGACAGCCCGGCGCCAGCACGGCCTCCACGCGGGAGGGTGAGATCCGGGACCCGGCGCGCTGTAAAGGTCAATGCAGATCACGTGGACGGACGGTCTCATGCCGGCTGCTGCTGAGAGGCGCTGACTCCTGCGGTCGGCCCCGAGCTTCCCTCTGTCCTCTGAAAAATACACCCTCCAGCGCGTAGCTCTCGTCCCGTTATTAAACGCAGAGGACAGGAGCCCCAGGTTACATCTGGTTCACAGTCGTGGGTCATCTCGAACCCTTACGCTGCCGGGCAGCCCTCGTCCGGACGCACCAGACACACGTGAACATGGAAATGCCGCCACGAGAGAAGCTGGGCTGCCTTGGTGAGTTCTCAGCTGGCGGGTCCGCGGCCGCACCGCAGGGCTGCTCCTGGGAGCCCGTCGTGGCTTGGGGGCCGGCTTCCCACGCCGATGCCTGCAACCCTTGCGGTTCCTCTGGGGCTCCATCACCACCATCTGCCAGGACGGTGGGGACAAGTCCAGGGACATGTGACCGTGACCCCCAGGCCCTGCCCGAAGAGTGGCTGTGGCCTCAGCAGAACTCATGCCGGGGGTTGGGGGGTGCACGCGGCAGAGGGAGCTGCTCAGGTCACTGCTGTGAGGGTCGGCCAGTGCTGGACACCCTTGGGACCGGGCAGGGGACAAAACAGGTAAAATCCTGTGCTCATGGTCTCAGAAAATTAAATGAGATGCAAGGAGTGTGGGTTGCAAAAGAAGAAAAGCAAAGCAAAAAGGGGTGAAGGATGGGGGGCGGGGAGAGGGGAGTCCCCGCCGAGGTGGCTTACGGGAGGTGAGGGGACCTCTGGCAGGGGGGACGGTCCTCACAGGACCCCCGGGGGTGTCTCAGGGGGGACGGTCCTCACAGGACCCCCGGGGGTGTCTCAGGGGGGACGGTCCTCACAGGACCCCCGGGGGTGTCTCAGGGGGGACGGTCCTCACAGGACCCCTGGGGGTGTCTCGGGGGGATGGTCCTCACAGGACCCCCGGGGGTGTCTCAGGGGGGACGGTCCTCACAGGACCCCCGGGGGTGTCTCAGGGGGGATGGTCTTCACAGGACCCCCGGGGGTGTCTCAGGGGGCATGGTCTTCACAGGGGTGTCAGTCAGGGGAACCTCAGTCATGGAAAGGGATCAGAGCCAGTGCAGGGAGCGTGGACACCTCCTTCCAGGATCTGCTCTCGAGGGGGGTGGGGAGATGGTCAGTGAGGGGCGGAGGCGGGGCAGACGAGGTTTTCTTCTAAGATGAGGGAGATCGCAGCATGTTTGTGCTGATGGAAGTCGCCTAATAGAAAAAGAAAGATCGACCTTTTGATTCATGTGCACCTGCTGCGTGTCGCCGTGCAGGGCTTGGGTCCAGCACCCAGTAAATCGTGAGCGGGTCACGGAGCCGGGCTGCCGGGCTCCAGGGCCCCTCCCCTCGCGATTCTGGAGTCTGGGTCCCCCCTCCATCCACCTCTCATCCCCTCTCACCCCTCCCTGTGGCAAAACCGCAGCTTCCCAGCCGATCCTCTCTCCTGCTGAGGGCAGTCACTGGCGGCTTCCCCTGTGGGTGCCGGTGTACACATACAAGACATGCACAGGCACACGCGTGCACTCACACACGCAAGGTCATAGGGTCTTAGGGCTGCCAACACTGAGACAGTAGGTTTCTGGCCTTTCTCTGAAGGACAGATTTAGCCGTCCCGGACGCCCTTCCACACGGCGGTCCTGCAGGATCCCTGGGGGCATCCCCCACCTACCCGCCCTGGGTTTGGAAGATAACACCATGAGGATCACCTTGCTGCACAGCTGCCGCCCTCCCCAGCCCGGTGACGGCGCAGCTCAGGGGCTCCTAGATTACTGGACGCCGATAAGGACGCTAACTTTCCA